CTCCCTCAGCCAACGGAAAGATACTTTTCCCTTTTTTAGTGGTTTTTAAGCTCCGTTGGAAAGCTCAGAGATTTTCCAAGCCTTACTCTGAGCGATGAGGTCACTGCTGACAAGGAAAAACAGGAGCAAAGTCCAGGAAAGTTTATTACCTAACTGGATTTTCTGGAGGGTCTCAGAGGGGCAGCCCTGAGGGGGGGGGAGGAAGCTGGGCTGCAGGCAGGAACGTGGCCCCGATCCTCTGTGCACCGCAGCCTGTCCCGAGGCTAGCCAAGGACAAGGGGCTGCCCCCCAGCAGGCAAGCCATTGCCCCACCACCTTCACCCAGGAAGGAGTCCCGTGCGGGTGGGGGGCTGCTGGGCTGGCACCGAGACCTTTGCCCCTTCCTCCTCCTCGGCTGTGCTCTCTCTTCACGGGAGGGGACCAACCCTCTGATGGGGCAAGGATGCAGCCCAGAGAGAGGAAAACTTGACTATCTAATTGGGACAGAGGCCTTTCCCAGCACCGCCATCTGGATCCCTCAGCGGTTCCTACACGGTATCCAAGGCCACACTGGCAGATCCACCTCTGGGGTGCAGCTGCCGCCCTGGGGGACGCCCCCCTGGGTCACTCACCAGCAATCAATTCGTCCAGATCCAGCTGCTGGCTCTGCTCTCGGTCCACGTGCAGGATGAGGAAGCCTTCCGGGGAAGGGGGGAGAGAAGGCCCTTTCAGCCCCACAGAACCGGGGGGGTGGGGGGAATCCCATCCAGGAAAGTCCAGCCCTTCCGTGGTGCGGGCCCTTCTCACCTACAAACATGGGGGCAGCAGCTCGGATGTCGGCCCAGTTGCTCTTGAAGTAGAAGAGGTTGATGTTGACCAAACGACTCAGCATTTCCGGGATGCTCTGCATCTGAATCGGAGGGAAGGAAGACCTGGAGAACCAGCTAGCGCCAGGTGGAAAATCTCTTCGGATGGGCAGCCGGGCCACGGAAACAAATCAAGGGGTCAACTCAGCTGCTTTGGTCATGGGCAACACAGCGCTGTAGCCTCCTAAACTGACTGACTGGGACAATGTAGTGCCGTGTTGCCCACAGTCAGAGCAGCTGAGCCAGTAAGACTGAGGGCTCCGACAGCATCCAAATGTTGACCCTGAAAACTGCAGGTGGGCCAGGAGAGCAGAAGGGCCACCTCAACCCAGTAGGCTCAGCCACAAAGCAGGACTTCTCACGCTCAGGAAAGGTCTCCCTTCTGTATTCCCTTCCAGCCGAGCAGAAGGGGAGGCCTGGGGTGCTTCTGGACCTTCTCACCCCTGGGAAAAGGTTGGGCTGTACTGTGGACCTCCTTGTTTTGAAACTGGTTGTGTAGTGCTGCTCCGGCACCTTCCCTGGAGCAGAGACTGGGAGACGGGAGGCTTAGCGAGGTCTTCACCCGCGGAAGGGCGGGGAAGCCAAAGGCCAGGCGCTCACCAGGTGTTTGCAGGCGTCATTCATGAACTCGCCGTAGTGGAGGCTCCACTCCTCGTGCAGGTGCTTCTGAAACATCTCGCAAAGCCCAGGGCAGCTCATGATGGGTCCACACATGCGCAACGCAAACTTGCAGGCCTGCGAGGAAGGACAGGGGAGGAGTTGTGGAGCCTTCGCTGCGGAGGGGGGAAGAGAGCGGAGCCCGTCCTAGCTGGGGCACCGACCTTGATGACCTCCGGCTTTGGGTCTTGGAGATGTAGCAGCAGGGTCACCAGGCCGTAGAGGATCTGCTCAAAACAGGCGTCTTCACCGCTCCCTGAGGTGAACCTGGCCAGGTTCCCAAAGAGGAAGATGGAGGTCTTGCGGAGGTTGGGCTCCTCCTGCAAGGAAAGCAGTTCTATGGGGGTGGCTAGAGGGGGCCCCCGTTCCTCCCCTCTCCCCACCACGTCCATCTTCTCCTTCCCAGGCTTCACCCTCCCTGTAAAACAGCGGTCCCCAACCTTTCCAGTTTTGCAGACTGGTGTGTGTGTTGGGGGGAGAGGATGGTTCCACGTGAGCGGAGGGCAAGGGCACGCACACTCCCCCCCCCAAGCACATCTCCACACATCATCTGTTGCTGCAGCACAACACCCGAAGACACAGGTGGGAATGTGGTTCAGCCCTCAGGCCAAGCTCCTTGTGGACAGGGCAGCTGCACTTTTGATGTGCCACTCTAACGCTTCACAACTTTCCAGGGGGTTGGGGGAGGGTCAGGATTCCCAAGTCACATTAAGGATGACCTGGGATTCTCCAGAGGCGTGAATCAGCCACCAGGTCCAATTTAGGGACCACAACACAGCTGTCTTTTGCCAACAGCCATGCTAAACCAGGGATCGCCAAACGTGGCAACTTTTAAGACTTGTGGACTTCAACTCCCAGAATTCCCCAGCCAGCATGAGGAATTCTGGGAGTTGAAGTCCAGACATCTTAAAAGTTGCCACGTTTGCACATCCCTGCGCTAGACAAACTCACCTGAGGGCCTCCCTACAGACCCCCCCAAAGTGCTAGCAGCTCCCCTTTCCCTCCCCTACCGGACTGCCCTGCTTACGCTGTCAAAGAAGGGCCGGATTCGCATGGTGACGTGCAGCAGCACGGAGTGGACGTCGCTCTCTTCAGTGAAGGCCAGGATCTTGGAGAGGCTGGACATGGCTTCCAGGGCAACCAGGTTGTTGGGATCGTCCTTGTCGTCCAA